AAAGGACAATATTGCAGTTCTTAGTTTCACAATATGACTCCCTAGGATTCCTAATACCAAGCATAATACTTGAAATTTATCCTTGCTAATAAATTCAACCTTCACCTGAAATCTATCCTGAATTTGTTTCAATAAATTCAACCTTCACTTGAAATCTATCCTGAATTTGTTTCAATAAATTTATCCTTAATTAAAATCTATCTTGAAATGTTCAAACAAGCTGGATATTGATAATAAATAGTTAATGTTAAACAAACAATGATCATTTTTTGTTAATGTTAATGATCATTGTAAGCTGTTTAAAATGATCATTAACAAATATTCATAAAAAAAAAAGGAAAAAAAATTTTGAATAATATGCAAAACAAAATATTATTGATAAAAGCATTTATACTGTAATAATACGCGGCAAAACATCTATAAAATAGCAAACAAATAGAGGAAAAAAAAATGCTTAATTTTACTTTTAAAATTAATCAACAAAGAAAGGAGGGAAAAAGAAAAGTTGAAAACTTTTTTTGAATTTAATTTAAATTTTAAAAACAATCTAAACAATTTTAAACAATAAATTTTTAAATATCAAATTAAATACAGAAAGGTATAAATTAATAAATTTGATGAAAGAAATTAAACTAATGCAATTGATGAAATAATTCATTAAAATAATTTAACGAAAAAAAAAAAACGAAATATATTCAAAAATAATTGCCAATTAATGTTTCACCATCAATTTTAGGTAAATCAATAGCATAATGTATGAGAGAATTATTTGTAACAAAATAAATATCAATATTAAATGGTGAACAAATCATTGAAATTTGTTGATCGATGATTAAATCAATTGAATCAACAATATAAATGTTATTATCAATGACATCATTTATGGATGCATATATTACCTGTAAAGGTATGATTTATTTAATATTTAATTCGATAAATAAAATATAAAACAAAAAAAAAAATAAAACCTTTTCGCTAAAAGTTTTACCTTTTAAAATATGAAATGTTTAATATTAAAATAAGTATTTAAGTAAAAAAAATTGCAAATAAATGTGAGCAAAAAAAAAAAAAATTGTTAACAATAAAATAATTATTTGTTTATTTAATTTTTTCTTTTAAAAACTCAAAGGTTAAAAAATTCGATATAAGATTAATTCGTTTTCGATCTTTTCCTTAGAAAAAAAAAGTAAAAAAGCACGCAAAATTGTTTATCGTAAATTGATTTTAAATTTTAGATTTAAATATTTTGAGCAAAAAAGAAAATTTAGTGCATAAATTGAAATTAATGATTAAACCTGTAATTGCCATTTGACATTTATGGAAATATTATTCAATTGAATGATTGCTTGATAGATTGGATTAGCACAAAATTTGATATGCGAAACTTTTTCCAATTTGAGCAATCTTAAATGCTTTTTTTTTTAAATATTTGTAAAGTATAAAAATAAAACAAAAAGAAAAAATTTATTAGTAAAAAATTAAATTCAAATATTTGTTTAACAGAATAGAACAGATTAATTTTACAATTATTATTACTATTACATATTACTATTATGTATATATATTAATATTAATTTCCATTTTCAAGTTAAAATTATTGCCAAAAATTCGATTTAATTGCTAAATGAAATTTTGAAATAAAAATAAATAATAAAAGAAATATACTTACGGTGTTTCATAACATTCTTGTAGGAGAAAACGATGTTGTGAATCACGAAGATATTCGCAAATATAAAATTTATAATCATCTTGAGCTAAAAAAAAAAAAAAAAAAATAAATAAAAAAATGAAAAATAAAATTCTTAACGAAAAAAAATTGATTAAACCTGTACTCTTTTTTCTCTTTTAATTTAGCATTTTTTAAATCTTTTCAATTTTTCCTTTTTTATTTTAGCTCTTTTTTTTAATTTTTAGCAAAAATCTTCAATCTTAAAATTTTTTTTTTTAATTTTAGCACTTTTTAAAGCACTTTTTGTGTTTAGTAATGTTTCGCACTTTTTCAAATGAAAAAAAAAAAGATTTCACAATTTTTTTTTGTCAAAAAAAAATTCAGCGAACAATTATCATAATTAAAACTGAATTGTGGTAAATTATTTTACACCTGAATTGTGCTAAATGCTTATAAGCCGCATTAAAATTGCAAATCTATGAAGGTAGAAAAAAAAGCAAAAAAAAAAACAAACGGAAAATTTTTCGATAATATTAAATTTATAGTTTTATTAATGACTTAAGTTTGATTATAATTTAATTAAGATTGAGATTTTAATTTCCGAAAGTGTATCATTTTCAATCAAACACTTATCGAATTTGTAAAAATTACATTATTAAATTTGTTCAATTCTTTGTATTTACTAAAATCGATAAATAGAAAGAAAAATTTTTAAAGGCAAGAATATTTTAGGATTCCTAATATGAATTTAATATATGGATATTTTAGTATTCCTAATATGAATTTAAGACATGGATATTTTAGAATTACAAATATGGATTTGGGAATTTTAATCAAAATTTAAGCAAGAGTAACATTATTATTACAAATGAGAAATTCAGGCGAACGATATTTTCGAAAAAAATTATTGGCATAAATTAAGCAGTTTGATATTTTAGGATTGCTAATAAGAATTTAAGCAGAAATATTTTAAATTTTAATATTTCATATCAAATTTTACATTTTGAAATAATCAATACGATTAAAAATTTTTGAAATTATTAGAGAAGAAAAAAAAAGCCAAGAATAATTATTAACCAAGTTCAGTTAATTCTTCAGTATTATCCATTCCAAAAAAGGATGTTATTGGTGTTAAATTTGCATAATCTTCATTGTCCAAAATAGGCATTAAACTAAAAAAAAAAAAGAAATTGCAATATTTTAAAATTTTTGCAATTAATTCAATCGTTTGATTTAAAAATTTCCAACTTTTATGCATTTATTTCAAAATAATATTTGTTCAATTTTAGGTTTTTATAAATTACAAAACTTTTTCAAATTTACAAAAATTATAAATTTTTCAATTTTACAAAAAAGGAATTCAAAAATTTACAAAAAATACGATAAACTTACATGCCATGTTTTATATCAAGTATACTGTATGTGCCAGTGATATTTTGAAGCATGATAATTGTTTCATCATTTGATAATGTTTGCCATGTATGTGTGATAAACATATTTTTTGCATAAAAATAATTTGTGAGATTTGTAAATTCTGAAAAAAATTTTTCCACTAATATTTAAATTTGAATTATTCGAAATGATTGAAATAAAAAATGTTGCAATTGTATTTCATTTCAAATTTCAAAATGTTTAATTATATTGAACGTGCAATTTTAGTAATTATATTTTTTGATTTTCAATTTGAAATTATTTTTAATTTCATTTATTACACGAATAATTGGTTTCGAATGAATGGAAATGTTAATGTGAAAGAAATTGAAATAATTTTTTAATTTATTCAATATATTTATTCATTAATTTCAATATTTCAAAAAATTATAATTATTAAATTATAAATTTCAAAATTATGCTTAAATGAATTTTTTTTTCTTATCATTTTTATAATTTTCTTTGAAGTTTTTTATCAAAAGTAATTAACAATGTAACAGTTGATTGTAATACTTAAAGATACAAATAATGCTAATGAAATAATTGAATACTTACTTTGATGGAAACAATATGCACCTTTATCATTGAAAGAAATCTTATCATCTATAGTGATAAGACAACAATAAACAAATGATGAAAGTTGTTGGCAATTTCTCATGCTATCATTAAATTTGATATTCTTTGAACTGAAAGGAAATGATGATATCACTGATATAATATGCTGATAAAAGTATCAAAAAAGTTATGTTATTGCAATTATCAGATGCAAATTATGGGAGTAAGTTATTTAATTTATTATTAAATTTTTATTTTTATTAAATTAACAATTATTAATTAATTTTCAAAAGTGCATTTTGTGTTTTTATTAAATTTTTAAAATTCCTAAGTTTTAAATATTTGTTGATATTAATTTAACAATTATTAATTAATTTTCCAATGATGCATTTGTATCATTATTAAAATTTCTAAAAATTTCTAAGTTTTAAATATTTGTTGAATAAAATTAAACTAATTTGATAACAAAAGTTCCATGCAATAAAAATTAATAAATTAATTTAATAATTAATCTATGAGCAAAAATTAACAAAAAAAAAGAAAAAAAATAAACAAACGTAATTTAAATTTTCAATAAAAACTTACATAGAAT